TGCTTAAATCTTGAAAAATAAATAAATAAACTTAGCGTGTAAATATTTTGCCATATTTACAAGGTTATAGAAAATTATTTTCAGTGAGCAATTAGCCAGATACACACTTTCTTTCCTTCAAGTCTTGGTGACATCAAAGGAGAAACAAACAATTTATAAATAATTTTATTATTGAAATTGATAGAAATCACGACAGAAGAAGAGTAAAACTTAACTAACACCATATAATTTAATTGGGCAAAAGTGTATGCTTTGTGGAGAAATAAAAAGGACAGACTAAAAACTAATATTTATGGATAAAATTTTGAATCAAGAAAATATTTAACTACAGATGCTCCTAGGTGACGTACATATAATTTATGCAAATTTGACCTCATGCAAACTGCTATACGTATGAGGCGTCTAATCAAATTTGGTGATGTGGGAAACTTTGTACAGAAATGCAAAGTAAAACAAACCAGCACAAAGCATGCCAGGGTCTGCCAAGAAATAAAAGCAGAAAGTGTCCTGTGGCCACCAGAAGCTGAAGGTCTCAGTTACAGGGCAGGTTCTCAGTCCCTCAGCATTATTCTAGAGTTATCTATGTTACACCCTTTTCAGTCTCCTTTACTGAGCTCTGATGATGACTTAGTAAGGTTTCAAGCAATAGCCAGAATGTATTGGGTCGTCGGGAAAGTCATGACGCATTTTTGCATTGAAAACCATAGAAAAATACGTCATGACTTTCCGGACAACCCAATAGAATTCATAAGCACAGCAACACTGAATTAGAGCAAAATTCCAAAGCATCAAAAAAATATGGCTAAGTCCTGCCCTTCACTGCACTTGAACTTGATTTGACTGCTTCCACAATGAAAATATTTAGAATGAAGGCACTGGCAAAAAAAAAAAAAAAAAAAAAAGAACTGCTAACGGCGTTGCCACATTCAAAGCCACCAAGATAAAATGAAGGTGGGCTCAGGTGCTATTTTGAAATGGAAAAATCAATGATAAAGCTTAAAATGATGTATGCTGCTTAGACTAATGATTCATAAAAGGCTAGCAAATGGGTTTGAAGACAGACAGTATGGTTAGCAAGGTTATAGGAGGGCATCCCAGTAGTTATAAAACTCATGAAAATGTTCAGAACAGGAAAGCAAGTGGGAAAGTCGCTGCGCTGGTTCAACAATAAAAACAGCAGTAATGTATCTCAAAGAATTGTAAAAATATTATCAAAAGATGTGGTTCTACAGCAACTACAATAAAATCTTTATTTTTGATGAAACTGTACTTTTTAAGAAAAAAATTAAAAAGTCTGGGCATTTTTTTCAAAAGGGGAAAGTGTCAGAGTTTAAGGCTACAAAAAAAGGGGAGCCGTCTGCTCGAGGTTAATAAGGCAGAAGGTGATACACTGCTATCTTGCTGATCCCTCAGAGAGCCTGTGTGCATTTAATATCAATATATTTTGAGCTCACACAAAATCTTGATTGTAAAAAACCACGAGAAAGAATTGCATAAGTCAGGGGACCATCTCTATTAGACTTATTCTGACAAGTTTCAATTTCACTAGAATCTCCTAGAGTCAATCAATATACTAGTATTTAGAGGAATGAATCAAATCATTCACACTCATGGGGCATGTTTCAGATTCTGCTATTGCCTTACTTAAAATTCTTGCTAACAGTTCATTGGACAAAACCCACAGTAAACCTATTAGATAGAGCACTGCTGACTCTTCAGTAGTCCTTAAGTAGCATCTGTGAAAGCTGCCTAAACCTGGGCTAGTTAACAAGTTGTTTCAGGGACTCAGCTACCGAAAATAAAGTGGATATGTGTTATTCAGTGATGTGCTAGAACTGGCCAATGGCCCACATCTCTTCCTAACTCTGAGTTTAGAGACATCACATTGGTAGGTTAAAATCAGCCCTTCATGGGAGTATTTACACCATTGAAATCAGCAAATCCCACAAATCCGGGCGTTTTCCTTCTTCTTTTAGGGAAAGATCATTGTTACGCATTTATCCCTATACCACTGGTTATATTCCTAATCTCTCTGGTTAAGCAGTGGCCACAAAGATAAAACACTTTCAATTCTTGTTCTTATGATTGATGCATTTTGTGGCTCTGTCAAGTGTTTTCACCTCCTCTGTTTATCCCTAACTTCAACAAAAAGAGCTATTATTCTTCAATCTGCAGAGTAGGGATAGTACCATCTACCTGACAGGGTTGCTGGAAAGACTGAATGAGGTCGGGTGTGCAAAGCACCCGCAGCATGAAGCGTGGCACAAAAAAGCAGGCTCACATCCCTCAGCAGAGCCCCAACTAAAGAACTGTGGCCCCATCATGTGATACATTTATTTAGCAATCTGTCATTTACAAAGGTCACTCATCATCCACATGCACAGTAGGAGGGAGACAGGTCAAAATGTATTTTCAATTATCTTTGAATTCAAAGGGTTTTGTTTCCCGGCTCCTTTCCCTGACCCAGCATTTGTCTGTAAGAAAACCAGGCATGATGGAATCAGTTCAGCTAATCTTTGAAATAAAAACCTTAAAAATTCTCTATGCACAAGAGCTTTAAAACTTCTTTTGGAAAGCAGCAGCCCCCCTGCTCCCCCAAATGCTATCTTATTCGATGTTTTGTTAAACACAGTGTCAAAAGCAGAGCTGTTCTGGGTGAAGCGACATCTAGAACCACCAACTGAGGTGAACCCAGGGGCTCTGAGAACACACTTTTCAAAAACACTTCCTTGTTCTATAAGTGTGGAAACTAAGGCACAGAGAGATCCAGGACCTTGCTCAAGGTTCTGGAACTGGGTAAAGCAAAGCCAAGGATCCAAGACTCTTCCCACCGTGTCACACTGCCTCCTCAGAATCAAGACCACAATTTTTGCTCTCCGGACCAAAGGTTGGCATTTCTTACACATGACTATTCATCATCCATAAATACTGCAACTGTACAAATCGAAGACAGGCGGCTGGAAGTGTAAATAAATTTAATCTGCTTCCACTTGACAAAGGTCAAATGGAAGAATATTAATAATCAGCCTTCTCTTAAGGGAATAAAAATAGCATTCTCTGGCTGCCAACAGTTACAAACCACCCATATCAGTTTCTAAAACAAAGATAAAGGAAATCAAAGAACCACCTTCTAGGCCGGCTGAGTGGCTCAGTTGGTTAAGAGTTGGCTTAAGAGCTCAAGGTCTGAGCAACAGGGCTGCTGGTTCGATTCCCACATGGGCCAGTGACGCTGCGCCCAAGCTGAGCTGTCGCTGAGCTGCCAGCGGGTGGCAGGATGGCTCAGCTGGTGTAACAACAAGATTACCTGTTCGACGGTGGGCTATGCCCACCCGCAAATAAGATTGAATTTGGCACCTTGATCTGAGCTGCCACTCAGATGCTCAGTGGATAGAGCGTGCACTCTTAACAACAAGGCTTCTGGGTTCAACTCCCACATGGGATGGTGGCTATGCCCACTGGCAACTAAGATGAACACAACACCTTGATCTTAGAGGCCATGAGCTGCCAACAGGCAGCCATATGGCAATGGCACCCTCCACAATGAAGACTGAAGAACAACAACTTGGCTGTTCTCCTCCCCCAATTCCCCAATAAAATCTTAAAAAAAGAACCACCCTCTAGATTATTCTAGAGGTAAGGGGTAAGTAGCCGTAGCCCTATCTCTGCTAGGTTAACAAAGAAAGGATCTGCTGGCAGAGACTGCTCCTTGCCCACCCATACCCATTTTTCCCTTCTTTCTTAATTACAGAAACTTAATTTTATTCAGGGTGTCCCACCTAAAAGAATAAATTTCCCGGCCTCCCCTGCAGATAGTTATGACCCTACAATTAAGTTCTGTGCAATGAGATTTAAGTAGTCATTGGGTAGGACTTCTGGGAAGCTCTTTGAAGGGGCATAGCCTTTTGTCATTTTTCTTTTCTGTTCTTTCTACAACCTGGAACTTGGATGTGATGGCTACAATTCCAGCAGCTATCTTGTCATTTTGAGGCTAAAAGCCTTGCACTAATGATGACAGAACAGAAAGAGTGAAAAAGTCTTGGTCTCTGATAACTTCATGAAGAAATCATCAAAACAGCCCTGAACTGCCCTACCTTTAACTTTTTTTTTTTTTAATGTTGAGTTTGCCTTTTTTAAAAAAAAGATTTTATTGGGGAATTGGGGAGGGGAACAGCGCTGGGGAATCTGGGGAAGGGGAACAGACAAGTTGCTGTCCTTTTGTTCTTCAGTCTAGTTGTGGAAGACGTTGCTTCACTGGCCCATGTTGGTATTATCATTGCGCTCTTCCCAGGTGAGGCAGATAGGTCACCAGCCTCTGGACGGCCGCTCACGGCGGCTCTTGGCAGCTCACACCGGCTGCCAGCAGCTCACACTGGCTGCCAGCCACACATGGTGGCTTATGGCAGCCCACTGTGGGAGGGGCTGCAGCCTACACCATTGCCAGCGACTCACAGCATCCCAGCTCCAGGTTTAGCTGTTGTTCACCATCTTAGCTGTAGAGGGCAGTGTCACTGGCCCTCATGTGGGATTCGAGCCGGGGCCCTGCTGCACAGAGCTGGCGTCCCAAGCCAGCTCTTAACCAACGCGCCACTTGGCTGGCCCTAGCTTTTATGTGAGAGAATAAACCCTTATACAGTAAATTTACAGTAGTTAGGTCCCTTTTTCTAGCAGCCAAACACAACCCGTAACAGATACAGACCTGGGTCTCACTGGCAGAAGCTACAGAAGCTGTGCCAGAGAGAGATATGTAAGGAATGTGGTGGCTCCAGGAAAGGAAGAAATGCCCTCCCCTACTCCTTGCCAGATTTTCAAAAATAATTCCAAAACAGGGTAGTGGAGGGCAAGCTCCCACACATTTCAATCAGATGGCTAGTAGCTAAAATTATTAAAGTCAGGCAGAAAGAATAAGCCTGTGAAAGCAGAGGGTGCCAGGGTAGCCAGGTTAGCGACCCTGCATCTCTTTTTCCACTGGGTCTAAGCAAAAGAGGGTCCCCCTTTTGTACCTCTTCAAAATTGCAGAATTCCTGACGAAGGGATAGCTTCAAAGCAGTGCAGTCTCTCCCACATTTCAATGCTACCAGACACTCCTTGGTCAAACGTGGGATCTAATCAAAGGACACAGGTTTCTTAGTGGAGAAGTCAGCAGAACTCCATGTTCCTGCTCTGCCTAAAAATGCAGCCAAAGCTTTGTCACTCCAGCTTAACAGGCCAACACCCACATCCAGGCTCCCCAGCTCCCTCTGAGGGGCATCTCTGTGGTTCCAAGAATCCACTTGTCATAGCACCCTGATAAAACAAGGAGCTTTAAAAGGGGCTCTCCAGTGCTCCTTCCTTGATCAGCTACTTCCATGATGTACAATCTTAGGCAGGCACTTACCTTAGTGGTCTCATCTAGAAAATTGATACAGTAATAGCACCTGCCTTAAAGGGAAGTTGGAAGTATGACACGAATTAACCTTCATAACACAGTGAGGAGAGTGCTTGGTATATCATAGGTACTCAATAGATGTCAGTTATTTTTTATTTCATTTCAAAGAGAACTATCTTGAAATTTCTCCATCATTTTTTTCTCCCATTCTCAACAGGTGCCCCCTTTTCACACTTTACATTTCCTGGACAGTTAGCACTCCTGCTCTGCATAAAGAGCAATCCCTTTCCACTCATTACCTTCTTTACACCCTGGAAAGCTTAGAAATATTCCCTTTAAAGCACCACCACTTTTCAGCTCTTTCAAAATTCCTATCTCAAGTCACACAGTCGTAATTATGTCATAGCCATACCTCTTGAGGCTGCAAGTTCAAATGCAAAAATCCCTATCAGGGAGGCTTTTAACCTTTAAGATCGGAGGTGATAGCCCTACTACCCTGTTCCCCCGAAAATAAGACCTAGCCGGAAAATAATCTGTAGCGTGATTTTAGCCAAAATATGGCACCTTGGCATACTGAATATTTTAAACTGAAGGAGTTGTGGAAAAGGCACCCTTCTCCCTGAAACAGGTCATAAAACCCTCATGTGAGGGGTGCATGCCCTCCATATCCTGGAGGAATCATGCTACGGCTTAGTCTCCGGCTAGGTCTAATTTTCGGGGAAACACGATATAATTCCATACCAGTTATCCTCCAAGGCACACATAGTATTAAAAGAAAACAATGTCACCAATGCTTCGGCTTTTAAAATGGACTGAAGTTTGGGATAGAAATACAAAGTAAAATAGAGTGTGTCTTTTTTAAAAATTGGACATACCTTATAGAATAATTCCAGTAACATCTTTTGTCGAGCTCGCTCATAAGGGTCATATGGACACAGCTTCTTTCCGGGATAAGCATCATCCAGGTACTCACAAGCGATGACAGATCCGTAGATCAGTTGACATTTGCTGTTTTCTAGGACAGGAATTTGGCCAAAAGGGTGCTTTGTATAGTACCATTCAGGCTTGTTTCTCAGGTTAATGTTGATAACTTCATGTCTTAAAAAGCAAAGGGAAAACAAGACAGAACAAAAATGAGGGGCTTATGCAGGGAGACGCTCATCTTGAAAGCAGAAGTAATCAATTTGTGAAATGGAAATTTGCAATCCGTTTTCTAAGGTCTCTTACAAAGAAAAATACATAACAACATCATTGTCTTCATTCCTACAGTAAAATGTGCTAAACGTTTTTCTATGCCTTATCTCATTTGTTCCTGGATTCCTGGCTCCAAGAGGTTGAATCTCCTGCCCAATATCACCACTAGGAAGGAGCACAGCTAGTATCAGGTCCAGGAAATCTGACTCAGCTCAAATGCTTAACCACCGCACTACAGTTTCATACATTTTAAAGCTTGAAAATACATATCTGCTATTAACAGGTCATAAGAGAATATGGTAAATGTTAGCAGCTACGAGCACAAATTCTGGCATCAGACTGGGTGAGGTCTGGACTGTCTAGCTTGTGACCTTGGTCGAATTCCTCAGTGTCCTTAACTGTAAAATTGGGGGTAATAAATGTACCCATATCTTGGCATCATTGTGAGGATCAAATAAGTGAATATGTACAAAATGCTTAGGACATTGCCTAGCGCATAAGCATACAGTAATGTTTTTATTCTTCTTAATTTTTATTAAAGGTTCAAGCCTATAAAGTTACCAGAGGCAATCACATGTTTAAAAAGAGTAAAGGAAACAAATGAGAATATTTTTTGCTTAGTCAAGGAGATTGTCTTAAAGCCTAAAGCAGTGGTTTTCAACTGGGAGTGATCTTGCCCTGTTCCCCCGGGACATTTATGGTTGTCACAATGGAGGAAGAGAGGATTCAACTGCCATGTAATGGGGTAGAAGCCAGGGATGCTGCTAAATATCCAAGAATGCACAGGAAAGTACCCCTCCACATACACATACATACACACACACACATACACACACACACACACCCCAATAGTGCCAAGGTTGAGAAACCCTGCCCTAAAGCAATATTTACATGAGTTTATAAACTGCCAATTTGTCACTATGGGTAAAAATCAGGCTATAGTTATTTTAAAATACGCAGCCTTAGGGCCAATTAGAATTGAGCAAGAGGAAAGAATCTGGAAATATATGCTATATACAACACTCAACAAAGCAGAATTACATAATTGTATTGAAAATGTTTCTGTATTAGCCTTTGTAGTTCTCTGCCGTGAATCTGAAACTCTGAAGCCATCCCATCATGATGAACTCTCCAAGACTAGAGTCAAAAGCCTGCAGTAACACACTCTCAACACTTAGCTTAGGGGCCAGATGCAGCACGCAGTCTTTGCCATCCCAGCAAAGGTGCTCTGCCTTCCAAAGTCATGCCTGAAAGACTTAGACTTGCAAAATTCCTCCTGGAAGGCTACGTACCCATTTCCTCAGGTATGTCAGAACCTTCAAGACACCTCTTACTTGATAGCAGTTCCTTCTATTTCATTGTTTGGAACTATTTGTTCATTCATTCAAAAATACGTTTAAGCACCTACTATGCACCAGGCTCTCTTCTAACCCATGGGAGAAAAAAAAAAAAAGACAAAGTCCCTAGTCCCTACCATGAAGAACTTACATTTAGGGGAAAGGGGAGGAGGAAAGAGGAATAAACAAATCAGAAAATGTTGTGCAGGTAAGCACAATAAAGACAGAGAACAGAGTTGCTCTGAAGGTGCCTGGGGTGGAGGTGGGGCTACATTCAATGGAGGCCTTGGTAGCCTTAGCTGTGCCCTCCCTTCCCAAGCATTACTAGAGGGAACCAGCTCACCACAGCCATCATTCATTTAGGACAACTGAGTTGTCCTAAAAGTTTCCTGCACGGACACAACTCTGCATTTTAGGACCGCCTGCTAAAGATCGCGCCCTTTTTTAACCATTTACTGGCTTTGCCTCAGACAAAAAGGACAGAACGCCTCCAGATTTTAAACATCACCCACACACCCCGCGCGCCTCTAGGGCGCAGACCTGCCGCTTTTCACCTGATGCCTTTGGCCCGGAGGACGAGGCGCGTCCTGTGTGCATAAGGGCAGAACCTCATGCTGTAGATGCGGATCAGGCCCTCTGGAACCGGCCCTGGAAAGATGCTTCCTGCGGGGGGGG